TATTCCTTGTATAGTATTCCAAGACTTTGAAAGACATCTTTAACTTTAAAAAAACTATAAAGAAATGTTGTATCTAAGTTTAACATTACAGAAAAATTGCTGACGTTTGATTCTTGATTAAATGTTGTCAAAGCCATGAATTTTCCAACATAGCTGGAAGTCTCTGCAGCACTACATGCAGTTCACCTCATACAAGTTACTGAAGTTGTAGGAGCTCTTCCCCCAGAGCGACACTTTGCCTGGTCTATTCCCTGGTAAGACCTTTCAAAACAGAACTCTTAGATCAACTTTGCCACACATTCCTGCCTTATCAGCTTGTAAAATTCTCATTATTACACATTGCAGCATGCTCAGTTAGTGTCTAATTCTTATTAGTTTGGTAGGAAAAAATTATTAGTCATTACATAGGATTCTTGGTCAAAAGAGTTATTTTTCCCTTTGGGAAGTTTCATGACAACTCATACCTTATAGACCCTAACATATTCTTTAAAGAACCAAAATACCATTCCTTTCTACTACAGAAGGCTTCCAAGGTGACTTTCCAGTGGTAAAGAATCCACCTGCCAAAGCAGGATATGCAAGAGAAGTGAGTTTGCTCTCTGGGTCAGGAAGATCCCCTGGAGAAGGAAATGGCAGCCCACTCCAGTATTCTTGCCTGGGAAATTCCATGGAGGGGCCTGGCAGGCTACAGTCCATGAGGTCACCAAGAGTTGGACACGACTGGGCAAACATATAGTAATCTAATAAATCTCTAGCTCAAATGATCACTGCTTTTATATTATTAATGCAAAAGGACTGTATGTGGAAAGAAAGGTATGGCTCCAACTACCTGCGAAACCTGGCACAAGGCTTCACTTTAGATCAAACCAGTCAACCCTAAAGGAAATCAATCCTGAATATTCATTGGAAGGACTGATGCTGAAGCTCCAGTGTTTTGGCCACCTGATGCGAAGAGCTGACTCACTGGTAGACTGATGCTGAGACTCTCAAGGCAAAACAAGGGGCAGTAGAGAATGAGATGGTTAGACAGCATCACTGACTCAACGGACATGAGTTTGAGCAAACTCCGGGAGACAGTGGAGGACATAAGTGCCTGGTAGGTTATGGTTCGTGAGGTTGGGAAGAGTCGGACACGACTTAGTGACTGAACATGCTGAGATTCCCACTTTGTGCACCGGTAAGATACAGACATACTGTGTGTTATAATAAATTCTGCTCTCAACATGTAAGGGGTATTGCTGACCAGCAGTCTCCATCAAACCATTTTTGCTCCTTTATCCCACTTAGCAGTTAAGAGATTTCATAGTACCTAGAACCAACTGGAATTATATATTCCTTTAATTCATGTTGTCATTAATTTAAATCATCCTGAAAGCCTGGAAAATGAGGAAGGCAACAATCATTACCAAATGTATACAAAGAATCCATTTAGTTCTAACCTTAATAAACCAGGTTTAGTGATCAGCAGTTACAGCAATCTTACAAGGTTATTGATGCTACTGCACACAGACACAGACACAGACACAGACAGACAGACACACACACAACCTTTGCTTAAGTGGCAGTGAAAACTACCTGAACATTGATTTTACTTTTACTCTGAAATTTACTGGCTTCAGATGTGGAAGGATAAATAGTGAAACTGTTCCAGCATCCCTTGGTCAACCACCAGAGGCTCAGGAAAGGGACAATCTTGTAAAACAACTTCCTATGAAGTTCAATTACACACACACACACCAACTTTTAAATCCTACTGGCTTGTTTGTATTCCCCTTTCCATTGCTTCCTAGCTGCAAGTTACTCATTCTAGTCATTATAGATACACAGTAAATGGATCAGGCAACGTGATTTAACCATCTGAAAACCAATTATGGCTATCTGCTACACAACATACAATGCGAAACACAGAGTATAAAACAAACTACAGCTCCACTGGCAACTCTGACACTGGGCCACAGACTGTTTAAAAAAAATAGTAACACTCAAAACACAAGGGTAAACAAAAACATTTATGAACAACACAGGTGATGGTGAAGAATTAACACCTCCACAAGTGGCAATTCAACCAATGAGAGTGGGCCTTCTGCTTGGCCTTCACACTCCTCCCAGAGCCTGTCTCTTCACTGGTTCTGGTCCTTCCGCTAATCAGTCATACTTTGGTACCTGAGCATTCACAAGCCTCCTGGATGGAGTCTCAAAAATTGATACCGTCTTAGAATTCCTCATGGCCAACAGACAAAACAGATGGATGGCTCTGGGTGTAAACGAGCAGAAAACTGAGACAACCGATGACAGACACTCTGGTTTTATTAACATCTTTGGAGAAATTTTAGTTGAGAACTCGCATATAAAACAAGGCCTTGGAAACAATATATACACCTCAACTGAACAGGATTCCATGCTTATTTTACCTCAGAAAATTTAAAAAGTAGTACAAATTTTCTTTTGCAAAAAAAATTTTATTTTTTGTAAACGAAATTATTTGCAAATTCTTCAAAGTACTGGTGGCTACACATAAAAGCTATGGACAGTACCAGTGTAACTCAGAAATTAACTGAGGACAGGGAGAGCCTAATTTGCTGTCTTCACAAGAGAAATTAGAGCAGTGTACCTTTAACTACAAACCCCTTCCCCTCTTTGCAAGCATTAAAGAGTCCTCACACATAGCTAATTTAAAGGTTTAGTTTATACAACTGATTTCATTCTGCAAACTCCACAATATAAATGGCAATAACTACATATTTTAAATACTGTAATAAAAATAAACAAAGTCATTAGTTAATTCTGTAATGCAGTAAGAATTTATAACTTTAAAAAACAAATTATGAAGAAAAGCATACTTAATAAATTAAGGAACATCTGAACTACTAATAGTTTGGGAAAGAATTTGAACTTTTATAATATGTATACAAAAGCAGTGGAAATGAAGAAAACAAATCTACACATTGCTGTCGCACAGAGAAGATTCGGTGTACTTTATTAACAATTCCATCCTCTTTCCTGCAGCCTGGAGCAGGAACAATTTCATTATTGGACGGGAGTCTCCAACAGCAAAGGGATACTGCAATATGTTACTAAGCAACTCACTGTGATTTCACACCATGAGGCAGGAGAAATTTTTTAAAAATTAAAAAAGGCACGCATAAGCTGATTTCATATATTCTAAAGTCCAGGCTACTCTCTTAGATACAATGTTTAGAACACTTGTATAGCAAAACAATTTTTAAATAAACATTTCCAAAAACTTGAATACACAACTTAAGAACAATGGATCTGCACCCCCCCAAAAAAGGTTACATTAAAAAAAGTGTTAAGAATCATAAAATAATTAGAGCTAACCTAATTTAGAGATTAAAAAAAGGATTCATATGCAACCTAAATTCTTTAGGTAGATAAAGTGAATGCTTTATTAAGAGTAGAAGGTACCATGTTTACTAAAAGTCAGTTCTCACTACAGTTCATGCCTATTTAAAATTCTATCTTTAAAGATATTTAAACCTAGTTTATTGTTCCTTAGCACAATTAAGACTCATGAAGAGCTCAAACTATAAAGCATGCACACACAAAATAATCTAGCATTTAGTCATATCATTAACCTATGTTTTTCACTTTTAAAAGACTGGTCAAACTGTCTCAAAAATATTGGAAGGTTTCTCTACTTTGATGACATATCTATGCATCTCAGGCAGCTTTTTTATATCCATCTCCTTTTCTTGAATAAATGTTGTAATGCCAGTTGACTTAAACATATGTAAAGATAACTGAGGCAGATTCTAGTGTATAAAAGTCATTTATAAGATACCACATGCAAAAACAAAATAAAAACTTTTAAGTTGAAATGTGTTTTCCCAAAAATAAATGTGCAGGTGCCCTCCACTGAGGGTGATCTGACCACCTTAGCCTTTCGTAAAAGAACAGAGCTAAGTTCTTTCTGATGGCCCACTGTGAAAATAATTTAAGATACTGTAAATTTTAGAAGCATATTTCTAGTCTTTATTAAGTATAATTTGTGGTGATAATACTTATTCTAAAATAGAGGTGCAGGACTGAGAATTTGAATCTTTTTCTGGGTGCTTAATCTTTCTTAAAGGTAATACTGCTGCCATAATTTCTTGTGTCAGCATAAATTAGGTATTTGTAAAAATAGCCATTAAATACTAATTCTCAAGTATATTTAAAGTACATATAAATCCTATGTTAAAAGTATAAGCTAGAAGAAATATATAGCATAGTCCTAGGATTTCTAGATTGTTAACATCAAAAAGTAAACCACCCTCTTTAAGACTTAACAGAACTTTAAAAAAAATTGCTTCAACATATGAATTTAAGACTTTACTTTATTCAGCAAAATCATTTATTTATACAGTGGGGAATGCTGGTTTGATTCTGTCAATGAAATAAAAACAAGGTGAACAGAGACAATACTGAATTGTATATGTATTTTGTACCAGAGCTGACCAACTGTTTCCTTACCTGTGTCAGGAACACCAAGAGCAACGGTATCATGAGACACTGGTTAACAATACACCACAAAGGTCCAGTGACACCCTGGGGCTTCCAATGCAATCACCAACTTTTTCTTTTTTTATAAATATATAAAAAAACAAAAAGTCAGCAAAACCAGCATTATGACATAGTAAACAGAGTATAACTCTAAAGTCAGTGGGTCAGTAAAAACCTTATCAGACCATCCAGTTTACCAGTGATCTGTTCCTCCTCAGACCACTAACACAACAGTCCAACAGTTGAAAAATAGATCGCTTTTTAGAAGGTACCAATGATCTGATAAGGATCTGACTTAAGGGACATTAAGAGGGGGTTGGGGGGGGTGGGCGGGGGAAAAAAGGAACTGTAGAGCATAGCCCCTATTAAAACAAGCTAACTTTCCAGATTTTCCAAATTAAAAAAAACAAAAACAAAACAAAAAAAAACCACTTCAACATGAAGCTACCATACAAAGTTTTTCCATATTTCTTTGTAAAAAGTTCAGAGTTTGCAGTCTAATCCTGGCTTTTTAACGAGAAAGACAGTTTCGGCCTGGACTTCCCCTTGCCCAGGATAATTTTTTGTTCTTCTTTTTGTTGACGCTGTCGCTCTTGTTCTAGTTTCATCCTTTCCTCATGAATCTTTCTTTGTTCTTCAACAATTCTCAACTGTTCTTCAGCCTGTAAGTTAAAAGTAAAAAATTAGAATCTTATATTGTAATATTCTGAAAATTAATCAAAAGGGGTATACAAAAGTATATGTTTAAAAAAATCTTGCCTAAGATGATATAGAAGGTATCAGGGGAAAATATTGACAAAGTAGCAAAGAACTCCTTATAAATTATTCCCACATTTTCCAATAATTGTTTTTTATGTACATGAGTACATGTACATAAAGTACATGAACAAATTGTTAGGAAAGCACGTGAACATTTTGAAGATGAAAAGAAGTTTCTATAATCATGCCTTGAGCTCAGTATACATTTTGTCCTATTACCTATTTTTATTTACCATTTTAGTAACCGGACTAACAAACTGTCAATTAAAAATCGAGGCATGAATTCTAAAGAGTATGCTATCTACCAATTTGTTTTAATTAAATTTGTAATTAGAAAGGCATAAAAAAATCCTCAATGGTGCTACATTATACTGTCATATTGACAACCAAAAAATAATCAACTTTTTTCTGGAGAGAAAAATAACAAAACCTTTCTGACTTGACTGACTATAAAATGTGAATTTCAATCAGTTCAGTTCAGTTCAGTCGCTCAGCTGTGTCTGACTTTGCGACTCCATGGACTGCAGCATGCAAGGCTTCCCTGTCCTTCACCAACTCCTGGAGCTTGCTCAAACTCATGTCCATCGAGTCAGTGATGCCATTCAACCATTTCATCCTCTATTGTCCCCTTCTCCTGCCTTCAATCTTTACCAGCATCAGGGTCTTTTCCAATGAGTCAGTTCTTTGAATCAGGTGGCCCAAGTATTGGGAGTTTCAGCTTCAGCATCAGTCCTTCCAATGAATATTCAGGACTGATTTCCTTTAGGAAGGACTGGTTTGACCTCATTGCCATCCAATTTCAAGAAAATTAACCAGAAGGTTTATCTTTAACCTGAAGGTATATCTCCTGGGTCAGGATGATGCCCTAGAGAAGGGATAGGCTACCCACGCCAGTATTCTTGGGCTTCCTTGGCTATTTTCAATAGACACCAATAAAATTAATTCCTGCAATGCCTTCAACTCCTTCAGTCTCTCAAGCAACCAACTTCCTGTGTTCTCTACAGAAGATTTCCTCTCTGCATCAAGAAAATTCAGGCCATTCTCACCAGCTCCTTCCTCCTCAAGCTGCTCTTCTCTCCAGAGATACCATATCCACTTCCTTAAACTCTCAACTAGGTGCAATTCCACTCCACTCTCCCCCAGGGGACATCAGGTAGTGTATGGTGCTGACATGAGTCATCACGACTGGGAGATCGCTGCTGGCATCTTGTGGGTAGGAAACAGACTGCCAAACACCCTACAAGGCACAGGACAGCCCCCACAACAAACAACTGTCTAACTCCAAAGTTTAAGAGTGCCAAGGTTTAGAAAACCTGCTCTAACCCTTGACTTCTGAATCTCAGTTATCACTGAGTTGTCCTTTTTTCCCTATTTGACCTTGATCGTAAAATATTCACTGTGTCATCTGAATGCCTTTATATTTCCAAAGTCAAAAATTCATTGCTTTCATCTCCATTATTCTCCTGAAATTGCTTTCTAGATGGCCAGGGCATGGCACATGCAGCTGAATCAAGGTGCAGTAAAGACTCTTAGGGTGCATACCTGTGCTTCCAGAAACTTTCACCAATACAAACATCCCTAAGGTTCTAACTCAGCCTTGAGGAAAGCATATTACAAAGAACCCTGGGGATTGAAGGATTTTATATCACAACCTCAACCACCCACTTGAGAAATTTATGAAAAGCACTTTGACACTATCTACCCCAAACTACATTTTCATAGCACTTTTATATCCAGCAATTTCATTTTCTACTAGTTTCATTCTATAAATATACTTGCATACATGCAAAATTGAACAAATTTATTGCAACATGGTTTGTAAAAGACTGGAAAAACCCTATAAAAGAAAATACTGTGTAGCTGTTGAATCCAGAATCATGTGATATTACCTAACCAAAGAAATTAAACAAGATTTAAAAAGCAACTTCCTTCACAGACAGAAAAAAGTATTCCAACTGTACTGAAATTAATTTCGGATTTGAGTGAAGAAAAAGAAAAGGTTCATTTTCATTAAGTCTACAGATACAGGCGAGGGCAGACTCTATGCAGCGGGGAGCATGACTAAGCTGGGGCGGCGCTCAGCACCGAGGCACGATGCCCAGGGCCAGGGAAGCACGGCGCCCTCACCAGCACCAGACAGGGCACGATTCTCACAGCCGTGAAGCACATCTTTCCTGTCCTCATGCACACACACTCCTAGTTTGTCATTACGGCTTTAAACCAAGCATATTTTTTGGCAAAAAAAGAAAAAAGATAGAATTTTCAATAAACTTATCATGGTAATCATTTCATAAGCCATATGTTTAGGCTATACACTAAGCTATACAGTGCTGTATGTCAATTATATCACAACAGAACTGTAAGAAGAATAAAGAGTAACAAAACAGACATTTTCAAATAAAATGGTGCAGAAATAAGTGTCTTTGTGTAAAGAACATGTATCCCAAAATGTGGCCTAAAATAAGTTTTTTAACAATTGTAATATATTAAGGAAGGCTCCCTACTTGTAAAACACTCAAGGCTTTTGTAAAACACAGAAGAATTTGACATGCGTAAAAGTTGGTTTTTAAGATTCAGTACTTCAATAATCTTGGGGAAATCTTAATTTTTTTTTACCCTTATAATGACTCCAATAGCAATGACAGTAACAATGAAATGATCACAGAGGAATGATATCACAGGGTAATCACAAGATGAAACAAGATAATTATGAGAGCACACTGTAAATGCTAGAAATTATCCTCTAAGTCAAACAAAAAATATCTGAGGCCTAAGTACAGTGACCAACGAAGAAAAACCATTATTTTAGCTCTAAAATAAGAAAACTATGTTGAACTGATAAAATTACAAAGTCCTTTTCAACTGCAAGTTAATGAGTATGTTGGTAAATTGATAAACCTTGACAATAAAGTACATTTCATATTAAAAAAGGCTGGTTGAGAAAAACCAGTGTTCGCTCATGTTAACGCAAGAGATGAAGCCTGCCAGTCCCCGGTGGGTGGCGCGCTCCACGGCCGCCTGGCCAGGGCTTCCTCGGACCCGTGCACCCCTCTCAGGTAAGTGGCCTGCGGCTCTGTTTCTCACGACCCCGTCTACAGGCGCAGTGCACGCGACTCCTCTCCCCTCTTCATTTCCAACGTGCACAGAAGAAACCACCATTCCCGAGGGGGAGGGCACGCACGGGCGTGTTCACACCGAGGGACAGCACCAAGCCCTCTCCCACCACGGCGCCCGGACAGAAAGGCCCACCCGATGACGCCAGTCGTCACAGCGGGCCAGCCTTCCCGGCCACTGCACCCAGGCCCCTCTTGGTTTCAGAAAGGTTTTCAACCCTCACCCCACTCAAAAGAACAGCTGCTGAGATGAAATACACAAAAGCAGAGTATACTGCCATAATGGAAGTGTCTACCTAGCCCCTCTCCCAGGATCTTTTGTCTCCCTGTCCCTCTTTAACCAGAAGTTCTATTACCTTTTTAAAAATTAACTCGTTTCTAAGCATTCTCCTTACACTGTCTACAATTTTGGATCAAGGTTCTTAGCTACAATTTCTTTAGCAAATAGTGACACTGAAAACCATCACTCTCTACTTGGAATACATATGAATTTTTACAAAATATGTATCAGGAGTGATAACAGGAATAATAGGAAAAAATAAAAAAAATATTACAATTAGGAATCATACCCCTAACTTGGAAATGTGAATTTCTGAATTTTAACCTTGCAAAGCATATGTTTCACTCTGCCATTTTGCAATTTTAACACACCCTTCCCTCTATTAACAAGTATAACATAGGTTCCATTTTAGATTAAAAAAATGAGTAAAAAATATTAAAAAGAAAATCTGATGTAATTAGTTTTGACCCTCAGCAAACTATTTTATGTTATTCATGTACAAGCCCCCCCCCACCCCACAAAAAAAGGTCGGGGGGGGGGGGGCGGAGCTTGAAAAAAGTACCACCATCTTTCCCCCAGGGGTCCATGTTAATTCAGTCCTTCTGACAGCCACCTCCCGGGGACACATGCCATCACTGCGCCATCAGCTGCCCACCTAAAGAGGACCAGTAGCCGCCCCCCCAGTAGCTCTCCTTTGCCACCTTTGTGACAGACACACTTTCCAAACTTCGATGTTAGATAACATCTCCTCTCTCACTTTACCTAAAGTACAAACAATTGCTTCAAGAACTGCCTGGTAATTGAGCATGGTATGCAACACTGGGTACAGAAATCACTGCCTTCCAGATCTCTGGAGAGGCTGTTTGTCGTTACTGCCAAAAGAGATAGCTGACACTTTCAGGATTCCACCATTCGTGTCTTAAAATTTCACAAAAAAGAAACTGTACTCTTCTAGATGCACTTCTTTTAATTTTGTGCCCTAAATTCTCTGTTCTTTTACTCAGTTTTTATTGTCTTGTTCAATACTCATTCCTTTTGTGAAAGTTTTCCTTCAATGCCTGGTGACCCCTGATTCCTAGCATGATCACACCAGGCCTTCCAGGTTCCTACAGCAGACTTCCTTCTCTTCCTTTTTCCTCTTCTTCCTCCCTCTGCACACCCTCATCACTCACTAAGTTCAGCTATTCTCTCTCTTTACTATTTCTATTTCCACCTTATCAAGTGCCCACCTTTTCACTGACCTCAGTGGCTTTCTTGTTTCTATAGCCTCTGTCCTTCACACCACAGTGCACAATGTCAATACATTTAATGTTCAGTTTTTAAAAAAACTGTTGCCGAAAATACAACATAATTAAATCAGTTTTCTACCTTATCATCTGGGAACAAGCCTCTCAATGCCTGAAAACCCTAACTTGCCCACCATCCCATCTCAAATTAAGATATTTAAATTGACCTTTAAATTTGATGCCATACCATGTTTTTCCATCTCTTAAAATGTATAAACATGTCG